AAACGATGTGTCCATAGAAAACAATTGACTTTTTATATAGTCAGGGAGGCACTAACCCTAAGCAATATCGTTAATTTTTTCTAACCCTGTATAATAATTGGTCATGATAGGATATTCTCAAAAATTCGGTAATTTATACAGCTGCGGTTCATATTAGGAAATTTTTACAGGAACTTGACCGACTAATTTTTATGTTCTAAATTAGTCGGTCACATTCTGGGACACCCTGTACAAGTTGAGTAGTAAAACCCTAGTATCTAATACCGTGCAGTTTCGCATTTCCCTGCAAGTGAATATTTCTGCTCGGCACACGCTTCGAGACATAACGCATGCAATGCACGAACTCCTCTTATTATCAGAAGTTACACTGCTGTGTAGTATTGAATATGCTTTGGTGAATTTACTGTAGGCAAGAACCAAAATAAAATTTTCGACTTAAGAATTATTTTTAAACTCTAATTGAATGAATCATTTAGGTAAAAGGTCTTGACAACTTCGCTTCAAGAAAAACTTTCTATCAGCTCGGAGCTCCGCATAGCAGCAATACGCTTTCAGACCAGTCTTCGATTGTTCTGATAGCGACTATATTCAAACCGACTGGCGCAACCTGACCCATTTATAGACTTTGAACCGATAGAAGATGATATGACCTCAATATCCAGGAACCAAGAGGCGCTCCACTAGTGCAAAAGCCTGGAAGCGGTAATATTTTAAAGACATTTTAATAAACATAACACATTTCACCAGAAGATACCCAAGTTGGGCCTATTTAAGGAGTATGGTAAAGTAAGTGGTACAGTTTGTGATTTTTTTCCCTGCTGCTTAGTGGTGGTATTGAGTTTGATCTTGAGCATGATCCTTGATGGTAAAATCAAAGTCGATACTTTTCAACACCTGGAAGGAAATTTGTCGTTTAGATGCGGCTGGGATGGAAATGGGTCATGTCTAAAAGTAATTTTTTCACTCTATCCGTCTCTCGGATCAAACATATATTGCATCATACAAAAAAGTGTTTGATTTGACCACCAAGGTAAGATTGAAGATCACCAGGAAGTTTTTTTTTTAGTTTTTAGAAACATCTCTGAAATTTTGTCACCAGATGTTTTTGCGCTGAATTTGACAAGGTCGTACATCGTTCAAACAAATTTCACTCATGGCTACAACTGAACGTGAATTTTTCCTTTCCATTTCCGGGGTTAATACTGTTGAGTACCAATGAACAAAATTGATTTGATTGTCAAGGTCATGATAGAGCTCAGTTTAAAGATCACCGGTGGATGGCGTAAGAAAAATTGAAGTTTTATCTTAAGTAAGATCCATGAACTCTTTAGAAACGAGGATTTTTACAATTTACACATATCTGAATTTTAAAGCTTCATCTATTTGAGGTTAAAAATATAGAGTATCATTGAAGAAAGTTGATTTAACCTCCAAGGTCGTGGTGAGGCGCAGTTTCAAGGTCATCAGTGAATGGCCTGAGAAAAATTGAAGTTTTATCTTCAGAAAGATCGATGAACTCCTTTCAAACAAGGTTTTTTTACGATGACCTTGACGAGGATGTTTAAGATCAAAATAATTTACACACAAAGTCAAATCTGAATTTTTCAGCTTTATCTGTTTGAGATTAAAAATATGGAGTATAATTAAAGATAATTGATTTGACTTTCAAGGTCGTGGTGAAGCTCAGTTTCAAGGTCATCGGTGAATAAGTTGAGAAGGAAATGAGGATTTGTATTTACAAAGATCCATGCACTCCTTTGAACCAAGGTTTTTTTATGATGACCTTGACGAGGAAGTTTAAGGTCAACATAATTTCCATACGAGGTCATAACTGCACTGTTTAGCTCTATACATTTTCGGGGTCGAAGTTTCGGATCATATTAAAAAATGGCTTGACCTTGATTTGATCTTCAAAGTCAAAGTGAAGGGCACCACTGGATAGCTAGTAAAACATATTATATCCCTACTGTTTTATTTATACTACCTTTAATATTCTCAAATACCTTGCCATTCCGGGTCTTGGATCACTATGTATACCTGTCGACCACAGCCTTGTGGCGTAAATGTTGCCGGGAGTTATGGTTGCGGAATTGAGGAATTTTGAGAGTATGGAATTTTACGGATAATTACGTGAAGTGATTTATCTTAGGGAGCTTGATGCCATGATAAGGAGTAAACAATTTCCTTCAAAAGGAAAATAAAGCTTGTTTTTATTACTTCTAAGGGAAACTTGGAGACGCTAGGGTGTACGTGGTCTGTAATTAAGTAGAGATCAATTTTTTAAAATTCTTCGTTTTAAATATAATTGCAATTGTATATTTTTACCCTCAAAATAACTTCTTTCTGAAGTCACACAGTGCTGTAGATGGTTCTTCAACTCCTCATTGCAGTGCTGGAACTCCGATACTGGAATGGCCTGGTCGGTTACAGCCGTTTGAGCATTTTCGAGAGTCCCAAAATGGGTTCCCTTGAGGTGATTTTTCAATTATTTCGGGAGAGAAAAAAGTCACAAGTGCTCAAGTCGGTCAAATAACGAGGCTGAGGAGAAACATGAATGTTTTTAATGTCCAAAAACTCGCTTATTGACATTGCTGTGTGACTAGGAGCATTATAGTGCTGCAACACCCAGTTGTTCTTGATCTTATGAATAGTTTTGTGTGTCCAATTTAACTCTTCCCCAATCATTCTATCTGTCAACCGTCGATTTGAACGCACAACATTCCGGATTCTGTCGATTACAGTCGTTCGAGTGTTTTCGAGTATCCCAAAATGATTTCGCTTGAGTGATTTTTCAACTTTGGGAAGAGAAAAAGACTCATTACTTAATTCACAGACCTGGTATAGCAATATGACGGGCGCATTCGCAAGACCAGTCCTTTACAATGTTTAATTGTGTTCTGGTAATCAGAAAGTTTATATTCTAGGATTGTTCCTTACACCTGAGGAGTTTTACAAACGCCTTGATGACATGAACGTGTTAATTGTAGACGTTCGACAAACTAACGAATACGATTAAACTAGAATCAAGAAAAAAATGCAGGAGGAATGATTAATATTCCACCCGAACTCATTCAACCAGGGTAAGTGAAGATGAGAAGTGAAAAATTGCATAACAAATTTCGAGGAAACTTAACCGATCTCCAAAATTCCACATATCGTGTGCAAGCATCTTTCAGCATTCTGTAATTAGCTAAATTTTAATTTCAGCCTTTTCGCAAATACGCTAGGGCTTAAATTGCCACCAGTGACCTGTGTAATCTGGGATAAGCGAGATAGCTTCGACTGCATTGTCATTTTGGATTATGACACAACAAAGTTTACCTATGGATTAGTCGAAATTACACTGACTACGCATATTCATAACTGAGGTATGTTTTAGCATCAATTAACATATTCTGAGAATACGAAATCCTATCCGTAATTACGAGACAAGCTGGGGGGGTGATCTTACCTTGGAACGTAGATGTGATTATGAATAAATAATCTTCATCGAAATAATGATTTCAGTCAATTGGGTATGTTTCCAAAGTTAAACGACCATAATGAGTACTCAACTAGGAATTCGCTTGTCCTGCAGATTCCTGCTCATAGACTGTCGAGAACAGAATTCAGCCCAAATCAAATGTGTATTAGGCTGTTCAATAAATTGCCAAACACTTTTAAAATCTTGCCAGTGGCATTATTTAGACATAAACTTAAAGCTCGATTAAGACGCAAAGTGTACTATTATATATATATATATACATTTTCAACTGTAGCATATTATTTATGGTTTTTGTATTTTATTTACTTATTTATTCATTGATATATTTTTAACTTGGCCAATCCTTATTTTAATAGGTATTGTGTTGTATTTCTTTGCTCATTGTTTTTGTGGCTGTCCTATATTTCATATGTATGGTATATTGTTTTTGGTTTTATCTATCTATTTTTGGAATGCTTTTGATACTTTTCAAGATAGAGTACCTTTACCACTGATGATTTCATGATAAACGATCTACAGAACCAATAGAGATTATTATTATTATTATTATTAATGAAAACATTTTCACATTTTCTTTGACGTTTCGGTTTATTTTAAACTAAACTAAATGGTCTGAGTATCTGAGCAAGAATCTAATCTTCATTAATGTTTTCGTAAGTTTCTCATCTCAGTAACTGCAGCATTAATTTTGATTATTTTGTGTGTACTGTTATATACTCAGAGATAAAGAAAATAGAACAGCCAGGAAAAATGATTGTATTGAATGAAATTTTGTATACAGTTAGACAGGGCAAAGGGGAGGTGTCTGTTTACAATAAGCAGCCGCTAAGGCAGAAGCCTAAATGCCACGATGAGCTTAAAGAAACTTTGTTAATCCGATTCTTGAACTGCCTAAGGTTAGTAGAACTAGGAAAAGTTCTTCTCATGTGGATTGTTCCACAATTTCGATACCCTGGGGACAAAGAAGCGGTCGTATCGGTCAGTTCAGTATGTACAAAGCTCGATACGGTTAGGATGGGAGGCCGTAGTCAGGCGGGTCTGTCTGGCAGGCACATCGCTCGGCCGCATCATGGAGGAGAGCTCTGGGAGCAAATCCCATAAGATGTGAGCAGTACTATAGGCTAGGTCTTGTCTGAGCCTTATACAGAGTGAGGAGGTCTTGAGGAAAAGAATACTTATTAGCTCTAAACAAATGGTCTAGCTTTTTCTCAACAATTGCCGCTATTAACGAGATGTGTTCGTGCCACATCAAGTCCTCTGTGATCTGAACTCTGACCATCCGAAATGAACGGCATTTTTGGCAGAACTGAACTGATGAATGTTAGCAAGTGCAAGACCTGTTCTTTTACCAGGAAAACGAACCCAAAAGCTTTTGCTTACACACTGGAATGTGTCAGTTTGATGCGTTGTTTAGAAGTGAGAGATCTAGGCGTGTTGTCTGATGCTAAATTAGAATTTACAGATCATATTAATACAATAGTATCATCCGCTATGAAAAGTCTCGTTTTTTTTGTATAAGAAACTGTGAATCATTTGGTAGTGAGACGGCACCTAAGGCTTTATACTGTACCTTGGCGCGTTCTAAGCTGGAATATGCATCAAGCGCATGGCATCCGTATTACCAAATCTATACTAGTGAAATTGAAAGTACAGAGGAGATTTATTAAATACTTGATTTTCAAATCAGATGACGTTTCTCCCAATCGTTGGTCAGATTTGAAATGCACCCTCTTGAGCTGAGAAGAATTTGTAATAGTTCAAAATATGTAAGAGGAACAGTGTCGGAGCCAAGACCGATCCCTGGGGAGCACCCGCGTTGACTTTTGGGATTAAGAGGAGAACCCGTCAGTTACTACGGATATCTTTCTGTCACCATAGAGTTTACTCCACAGTTGCGTGACGTAAGCTAGGAGGTCCTCTGTGGATCGCTGGTGCCGGAAACGATACTGCCTGTCGCTGATCAAGCCGAGACGTTCGAGGTACTCCAGAAGCTCCCGATTTATGTACCTCTCCATCACCTTATAACAGAAAGCAAAGCTACATGTATGTAGTTGTAATGGTCGGCCTTAGATCTTTTTTTTTGAATAGGTTGGGCATGAGCAAATGTCCAGTTTTCTGGGAAAGCGGTGATCACATTTTGAAGCGGCAACGTTTTGCTATATTGCTGGATTCGCAATAATGTATGCTTCTGATGAGGTGATTTACGTCTTCTGGAGGTATACAAGAAGTTACTTTACTTTCCATCATATCCCAACATGTTTAATGGACGAAAGATCTCGAGATCTAGTATATCAAAGAAGCAGGCAGAACGATATTAAGGTTAAAGCTTTGGCTGCCATTAAACATGATGTCAAGTCACTTCTAGCTACCATTAGGTGAACTATGACGGTATATCCAGATAATACTAGAATCCCATTTTTTGCTATCTCTTCAAACACTTGAAAACCCTGTTTCGCAACAAGATAATGGCCGTCCTCATATTGCTATAACTACAGTGGTCTACCCCCGGAATGGTCAAATTTACCTCTTTCCTTGGCCTCCTAGATCCAATTGAACATGTGTCGGTTGATCGGAAGAAGAGCTAGTGTATACTACATCTAGGTGGTCCTGGCCCAACACATTTGCGAAATCTAACGATACCGTAAATGTGTTCTATTTTCTTCGTCATTGAGTATTGTGAAATTGTGAATTTGTTTGAAAAACCCTAGAATTCTAATTTAACTTTTTGTTTACAGTGGGACTGCAACAGAAGCTACCGGGAGCTCCCATTTATCCTAGATGGCGGTTTAAAAGAGTTCGTTCAATGTTATCCTTCAGAAGTAGAGAATTCTGGTTGTTTGTTCGCTAAGCAAAGCTCGGAGATCGACGATTTGTTGGATATAGACTCAGTGGAATATCCTGGTTCAGCCTCAGGAGGACTTCATAGAAACCTCATGGTTGATTCGGCATATTCTATGGGCAACATAGCAAAACCTGTAGAGAGGGACTTCTCCGCAGAAGATGAAGACCATGAAGTAGCGCTTAAATTGCGTAATATACGTTCAGAAGGGGCATTGCCGAAAAATTCGTACTTTGCCAAGGAGCCAGGTGTATCTAGTGGCACTTACACGAGCATTTCCGAGCATCGATTTCCAATGGAATACAACAAAGGAAACATTAACCCTGCAGCTTCGACGGACTTCATGAAGCCGCAAGATATGTCGGTTGAGGAACGCGAGGTAATTTATTCATTTATTATTGCTTAATGAAATAATGCCCGCCAGTGGCGACGCGTGACTTTTCCTAAAGGGTTACCAAAAACCAGATGTGAAAAATCTTATTAAAAAAGTTTATTTTGAACCTCCCAAATATAAGTTTTTGCTTATCTTAGATATTTTATTTGAACTATTTTTAAATTAAGGTAAACAGTCCTGGACTGAGCGTCTGGTTCATTTGATATACCTCATGCTATGACTAATCCAAGCCGTCCGAAAAAACTGTCGACGTTTCTAGATCTTCGGCAATTTTTTTATCTGTTTTGCCTGTAATTTCCTCTATTGTCAGAGTCATCCCCTTCAAAATGAACGGTGATTTCTGTTTTGCTAAAAAACATGCGGTATCTAGAAGTGTGCTGCCTAAAAGCTTGGTTAAGACAACTTTCGATTCTTGTTTTGCCAAACTGAATTAAATTGGCTACACATCTCACATGTATAGGAGAAATTTCATGTCTCCCCTTTAGAGCTCTAAAATTATTTAAATTGTTGACTCCGCTGCTGGTCCACCCATTTTTTTCTGTATAAAACAGATCACATCGCCAACAATAAAATCTGTTTTTTTGCAACCACATAACCAAGAGTTTCCATATACCAACTTAATTTAAAATATCAAACTACGTTTTTTTATTGGTTTTTAAAATTATCTAAAATAGGTGTTGGTCTTCCATCTTCAATGATCTCCTTTTTCTTCTTAAAAATTATACAAGGAGAATGACTTTTCAAGTAGTTGATCGATTACGCAGCGACACTCATCCATGTTTAATTGCACGCACACTACAACCGGTAACCAAAACGGCTACTAACGAGTGAGAAGTGAGTAATCAAATCAAAAAATGGTAACAAGCCCACATAATAGTCGCAGCGCCCCACGCGCTCGGGTGACCGCGATCAGACACGAGCCGGAACCGACGATCCCCGACAGACTACCAAGTGTATCCATAAATGAAAATGGTAACAACCGACAACCAAGTCGGGGCGAGTCAGCTTCATCGTATTCGCAAAACCTAGACACTATAGGGCGCATTATTTTCGTGGGGCTAAGTTGCTATTTACTGAATTACTATTACATATCGCTGTTGGTAATCAAATAAATGAAATTATTTCACAGCACTTGGTCATAAAATATTTATTTTTTAGATTTTTATGGTTAATGGTTACATGGACGCTTCGCCACTGATGCCCGCCCTTACCTGTAAGGCTAACAGTTGTCGGAGTTAAGCTGCGTCTGCGCGATTAGTATAACCGTGCCGGAAAATTGTTGAATTTTTTGGTTTTTCAGTTTTTTATTAAGATGGACGTTTCAAATTTAAATTCCCAGTGTAACTTGTCACTTAGTAGCTATGAGATTTAGACGTTTTCTAATAATCTTAAGATACGCTTTTGTTTTTTTTTACCAGTTCCCAAGATTTTTAACGAATAATATATACCTTTCATCGGGATTGCCAGATGTTCTCCGTTCAGGAAAATGGTCTTTCTTTAACCGTTATGTCTCGTTTTTCCCCAAATGTTCTCCTACAATGATAGTTTGTTTACTATCATAGTGAAATTTCGGTGTATTTACGTTTTCTGTTTATTTAATAAGAGATACTGTACTATTAGTCCATTCCAGTTTTCTATACTTAAAATAATATTAAATTTTGCTAAGCATTGTATTACCGGCTACCAAAAGAATTTCATTATCAACAGTTTATTTTTATACCTGATGGTATGTTCATGTTAGTGTTTTTTGTATTAACCCTTTGAGCCCCACTGGTTAGCACCAAAAACCATCTTTCAAAGCTCATTTTGCTATTTTCCTAGCGGTATCCCTGGCTAACCATAGTGTGTAACGTCTTGCCTAATGCATGCTGAACCTGTATTCAGCGGAAACAAACGAAATAAACTTATATTTGGTGCGTATTCCTGCTTCGTATAACGTCAAATGTCCAAGTAGGTTAACACCTAGTACAGGGTGAAGATTTTATAGATCAATTAGTAGTTCTTTGGTGAAAAAGTGTATAAAAATGGCTGGTAAGTACAAATAATCTGTGTATATGGCTTATTATGGTCGAATTTTGCACGCATCTGATTTCTGATTCGCAAAATGTCACATTTACGGTGGTTTTGTGTAGTAACCACTAGGAAAGTACCCAACTTTTGTTTTTTGACAAAAGTTATTTATGTGTAACTTTGTGACAATTTTTAATGTCAACTAATATTTTCTGGTTTCATTTACGTGGCCCATTCTTTTCAGCGAAAAAAAAATGGTCGATCGCTGAATTGGAAAGTATGAGCCTAGCTGATATTTATAAAATTGTAGAGGATGTAGACGAGGTACCTAGTGATAATGAGTCAGTACTAGATGATCTGGACGCTGTTGTGAGTGATGAAATACCCATTACTCAAGAAAATGCTGACCTAAATAATGATCTTTTCAATCTTCGGAATATGGATGTCATTTTTGAGGACTTGATCGAAGATGAAACTGCTCTTTAGACAATGCGCAGTGGGAAAGTGACGATGATATTCCACTAGCTAGAAGAAATGATATATTTCTGCCTTGCTACTGGACCAAAGATACAGTATACATCAACCAACCAAGCAAATTTGAAGAAGAGGCTGGCCCCAATTTGCCTGATATCATTGAAACACCTACGGACGTTTTTCTTGCACCTATTTCCTGAAGACCTCACCGACCATATTGTTTTTCAAACAAACTTATATTGTGTACAGAAATTTGGCGATGGAAGAAACTTCGTTCCTACAACGAAGGATGAAATCAAAGTTTTCTTCGCTGTAAACTTGCTGATGGGTGTAAAAAGGCTACCCAGTTATAAAGATTACTGGTCGTCAGATGAAGTGCTCAGAGACTCATTTATTAGTGGCTGTATTTCCAGAGACCGTTTCGCATGGTTACTAAGTAATATTCACCTCAATGATAATTCCGTACAGCCCAAAAAGGATCACCATATGACAAACTTTATAAAGTGAGGCCACTTTTTTCCAGATTACAAGAGACATTTCTTTCTTCACTAAAGCCAAATGAGTTTCAGTCAGTAGATGAATCAATGATACGGTTCAAAGGCCGCAGCAGTATCAGACAGTACATGCCAATGAAACCTATAAAGCGCGGTTATAAGGTTTGGGTCAGAGCAGATTCCAGTGGATACATGTGTGAATTTCAAATCTATACCGGCAAGGTGGATCACGCTCCAGAAAAGAAATTAGGAGAGAGAGTTGTTATAGATCTAAGTAGAAACTTGGTTGGAAAAAACCACAAGATTTACTTTGACAACTTTTTCAATTCTGTCGAGTTACAAAGACAGTTGATCAACAATAAAATATACTCCTGTGGTACCTTACGAAAGGGTAGAAAGCACTGTCCTGAATTCAAGTCAGACAAGGATATGAAACGTGGTGAAGCCGATTGGCATATTTCCAAAGATGGTTTAGTTGCCCTGAAATGGGTAGACCGGCGTAGCATACTTATGTTGGGAAATCACAATGATCCCTCTGTTTTAGATACAGCATCTAGAAAAAGAAAAGACGGCTCTCCAGAGGATATACCATGTCCCCAGATGGTTTGTGAATACAATGCCCATATGGGCTATGTGGATCGCTTTGATATGTTGAAAAGTCTCTATGAAGTTAACAGGAAAGCACATAAGTGGTGGCATAGAATTCTATTCTACTTCCTAGATGCTTGCGTTGTAAACAGTTTTATACTCTTCCAGCTAAGAAGTAACTCTAAGGGATTAACTCTGAAAAAAATTCGACTGTCTTTGGCACGAGGTCTCATTGGAGTAATAGGACCCACTAAATGAGGAAGACCATCTTTTGCACCTACTGTAAATAGATTCAAGAAGGTGGTACCCTATGAAGTACGATACTGTAAGGCTTCTCACATGCCTGAAAGATCAACATCTCTTAGATACTCCCACTGCAGTACACTTGATAATCCACATAGAACTATATGGAAGTGTTCGACGTGTCATGTGGGATTATGCTTGAATAAAGATAGAAACTGCTTCTCACTGTTTCACAAAAGATAACTTTTTTTAATTCTTTTTTGAAAGTGTACCTTAGTTCCTGGTGGTTAGCGTTGGTGACCACGTCCTGAAGGATAGCTACACATGTTTATTTGAGAGTACTTTGTTTTAGAGGTTTATTTGTACTATTTTTAACTCATTGTTCAATAAATTTTAGGAGTTTGTGAATTTTAATTAATTTCGGGCTCAAAGGGTTAATAAAGAAATACCTGCGACAAAATTAGAGCGACTCGTTTTGTATTTAGTTTCGCTAAAGTGTAGTTGGTCAAGTGTTGGATTGAAACAACAGAGAAAATTATTAGCAATGCATAGGGGAAAACATTATTCCGTAGATTTAAAAGAAAACATTTTTGAAGCTTATAAATCAGATCGCAAAAATTAATAAAAGAGCAATTTCATGTAAATAAACAAATGGTTGCAAGAACAATACAAAATATTGGTTGTTAACCTTCAGAGAGGTAGTCGGAAGAGAAAAAAAACTTCAACACAGTTGGTTAGGAGAATTAAGCGTTTAAGTCATGGCTATCTGCCAATCAAATTTTGGCTCAGATGGATGTTCCGGGAGTTTCATCTAACACTGTTCAGCGGCGATTAGTGCAGGCGGGGCTCCCTGCAAGGAGACCAGCTAGAAAACTCCATTTATAAAAAAAATGTGATTGCTAGGATGATGTTTGCACCACGTCAATGCCACTGGATAGCTAAGGACTGGAACAAGGTTTTGTTTAGTGACGAGTCTAAGTTTCATATTTTTGGAAGTGACGGAGTGCAGTTCGTAAATCGTCCAGCAAATAAAAGACTTGAAAATTGAGGGCACCATGGATGCTCTACGCCGAATGGGAAATGCCGCTAAAGTTTACATTCCAACATGATAATGACACCAAACATACTGCCAAACTTGTGAAGGAATGGTTTGGGGCAAATAAAATTCAAGTTTTAAAATGGCCACTGCAATCACCGGACTTGAACCCCACTGAAAATCTTTGGGAGATAATTGAGAAACAGATTCGAACCAAAATTATCAGCAATCGTGCTCAGTTATTTAAAGAGATTGATAATGCTTGGAAACTAATGGATCCAGCTATAATTTCCAATCTCATTGGGTCGATGCCAAATATACATATGTCAAAAAGTAATTGAGAACAAAGGGTACTGGACGAAGTATTAGTTTAGTTTCATTAATATAGGATACAAATGTATTTCAAGGATAAGTCTTTCTAATTTTGTCGCATATAGTTTTTTATATTTTTTTTTTGTTTTCTCTAATAAATCTTTGGAAACAACGTTTATGAATTTATTTTAGTATCATTTGAGACTACTTAATGACATAAATCTTTTAGCTCAATTACAAAAATTCAATATATTTTGCATTCCATAAAAGGTATAATTAATTTTGTCCGATACTAAGATGTTGATTTTCTTCATTTTTGACATTTTCCGCTACAAAAGGATGTTAGTACTGCTGCTCAATGATATCCCCACTAATTGTGAATACAGATTCTTTGTCATGATGAAGCAAACCAGTCTACTAACCGGATCAGACATTTAATCATTTCGGGGTATATCTGGCATTGCTCATATATTAAGCGACAACGGCGATTAACGTGCGTTTGAACTACTGATAGAGGCTTTCAACCAGTTATATGGGGCTAAGCAGCTTCTGGCGCGGTTAGTATTTGGATGGATAGCTGCTTCGATTCGCTCGAGAACTACACGCCACTAGTCCCAACCGATTGCTGCCATTCACTATTCTCAGTGATCGATTCCTGTGGTAGATGGCGCTTCGCCCTGCCTTATTTCGATAGATCGCACACATAGTTGCTAAGCTTTCGTTCGTTGACCGTGAGACCAAGCCGTAACAGTTCGGAATTTCTTCATTTTCAGCTAATACTTTTCCTCCATGGAAGTCGCGGCGCCGTTTGTTTAGGCTTACTGTTCGGGATTTCATCTAATTTTCAGTAAATATTCTGATATAATCTAGTTATCTCAGCATTTTCCCCAACAAGACGTACAATTTGGCAATAATACACATTATTCATTATATCTGATAGGGAATGAACATTTGTAAACTTTTCAAACAATACTCATAAACGCTAGAACTTTCATTTTATTAAAAAATAATGGAATTGCTAAGGATTTTCAAGGAAACGTATTGAAAAAACAACACAACACCTATATAGTTTACAAATTAAAAAACATCACTTACTGTATGTTTACTCAGTGACATTAGAAGTCTTACACCCAGAAAAAATAATTTCTTTAACTTGTCTTTCTGGCAACATAACGTATTTAAAACATGCTGTGGCGACAATGTCATCTTAGTTTTGTGTACCTTTGTTAAAATGTTATCTCTTAGTTTTTGGGAAGAAAGCAGCTTCTGAGACCTGAGTAGTATAGGTATTTTCAGTTATTGCCCTTTCATTTACTAGTATTAAGAATAAAATGCCTCGAGTTGGAAGACGTTCAAATTATCACCATGTTAGCGACTTTGGCAGGAGTAGAATTATTGCCTATCGAGATGTTATTGTTTCGTTCTTGATGTAAGACTACCTCATTGCCAAACATCAAGTTGAAGAAATCTTTTTTTCTGGGTGTCACACTTCTAATGTCACCGAGCATATTTTCATCGTTGCATTTTGTTCAAAGGATGGCCATTTCTAAAGACTTCTTCTATTTCTCTCGAAAGAACGAAACATTTCGATGTTTAGGCGCTAAAGTTTTGCCTTACCTTTATTTGGAGTTAATTAAAACCTTCTTTTGGGTATCTGATTACGTCTTAACCGCGCGAAATTAGCCAGTGCTGAACAACAATTTCAACTCTTATACAATATCAGAGCGCGATTGCCGCATAAAATAATCTGAATATGGTTTAACATTATGTGCTTTGATTCTCTGGCAGTCCTGTATGGTATCCGTCATCGCGAAGTATAACGGATGCTTACTTTCAATAATGTTCATCGAATGTATCTGCAGATGGGTCAAGGGCGGAACAGTTTGCTCATCTCTAGAAAAATATCCTTTATTTTGTTTTTTCTATGTCTGAAGGCAATCCGAAAGCTCATGGAAGGTGACAGAGAATTGCTGTTGCTAAAAGCCCGCGCATCAAAACCAACTTATCTTCCAGAGCAATGGAATGAGGGTAACCAAGACTACTCAAGGTCACCTGATAGACGGAGAGATAATTCTCCAGAGCCGATGGACAATGCTGTGCCAACTTATGTCTCTCCACCTCCTTCCTTTGACAGGAGTTTTAAACCTGCTAAAGTCAAAGAACCAGAAAAAGACGTAAGTTTTTATATATGAACTTACATTGATGAACATATTACACAAGAAGATGCCCAATTCAGATGAAAGCGGCGCTAAACAATTTATCCTTACAACTTACAACTATACTGCCATACTTAGGTAAAAGATAGTAAAGTTCATTTACTGCCTTTTTTAAATTGATTAGAATAAAAAATATATCATTGACAATGGAATAGTTATTTTCTCTCTTTACCAAATATTTCATAATTACATTTCCTAAGCAAAACAGCAGTAATTCAATTTATCAAAGCAAAAAATAATTACATTCCCTAAGCATAACAGCAGTAAATCAATTTATCAAAGCAAAAAAGCAGTAGTTTTCAAACTATACTTTTTTGATTTTCTATATGATACAGGTACTTACTTATACTTTTTACCCTTTACAACCTATTATGATGTTTACTTATTTAGTTTCTTATGCAATAATTCTATTATTTGTGAATAAGTATTTATCTTACTTTCGCTCCGAAAGAATAGTTTTGCAAAATATTCTTCCTTTAATTTAACATATCAGAAATGATGCAGCTAGATGCTAGTTTATTTATACAATTATTTTCAATGAATGTAAATTATTAAATCTACAGAGTGAACATAGTGATGTTCTAATGCTGGCATTCTTAGGGCGCTATTGACGTACGCCGCCCAACAAAAATGACGTAGAGATGACTTCATTATGACGGTCTAATGTCACACCCAATTGACGTCATTATATGTCGTTTAAAAGATCAAATACAAGGTCGATATGACGTCTATATGTCGTGGATATGACGTCTATCTGAGGTCGATATGACGTCTATGTGACCGTGCTTGATTGCAAACATTTTAGTAAAACTTGTTTATTATTATACAGAGAAGTTTCTAATAAATTTGTTATTTACGGGAATAAAATATGATGTAAGATGTCAATTTGAAATATCTGAACATGGAATATTATTATTGGAAAAGTCACATTAATAAGATATTTTTGGTCGAAGAATTCCTGATACTTTTTATAAATAACAATAAAGTTGTTATTGTATTTGGATATCTAGTTTACCTTACACTAAAAGCCTATATATTCTTCATAGGTAAGTGTTGATTTTTCAGTATTGCCTGTCATAAAAAAGACGTCAAAATGACTTTTAAAGGACGTCTTGTTGCCATAAAAAAATGGTCTCAATAAAGCCGCCATTTTTGGGTCAATGACGTTTCCGACCAAAAGTGACCGAATAATGACGTTATTTTGGCTTCATAATGTTCGATGGGTAATCATAATTTTTTAATTGAATTATTTGATGTTGAAAAGGTGGTGCTATTTATATGAAATTCAATATGAATAAATTATAAGAAAATAAAATAGGATTCTGTATTACTGCGGATTTCCTTTGAGAGAATAATAAAAATAGATTATGGAAACTACGAAAAAAGGCAGTAAATTTTGTTTTTGCAGAGTATAATTGCAGTAAATCACAAATCACTGCTTTTTGATTTACAACAGTAAAATAAGGAATTTCATTTATTTTAGGCCTCAACAACAGTTATAATCCGAAATCACATTTAAATGCCTCTCTCATGTACCTGCAATATTCATTCACTTTTGTTCTGTCGTCATAATATTATTTACTTAGTTCGACAAAAAATCCAGAATTATGAACTCAATTTACTCAGACTCAGATTTTTACAATTAACTTTCTTCTACCTACGGCAGTATACATCAGCGTAGTCACTTAGGAAATTTCTATTTTCGTCGTTCTGAGAATCAGAATTGTCATGAATCTACTTCTAATGACTAAGACCTACATGGCTGTGACGATGTATGCTAACGTCAAACTACAGCATAGGGTTTTGCATTTTCTTCGAAAATGCGTTGATATGAGTATTATCGATACAATAATCTCCATTTTTTCATTTTATTTTAGGTGAAGGGGCGAGGCTTCACGGGAATCCGAAATTACAAGAATTGCTGTTTTAAGAGCGCGATCTTACAATGTATGAAAACCTTGCCGTTCATAAAAGAGTACTTTGTGAATACAAACAGGTACTTAACCCTGAATCGAAGAGTACCTCCGGTATTCAATATATTGATGGGCGAGGTAAGATTTTCCTAGGCAAAACCTAAATACCAAAGTGCTGCAATTGTTATAGCAAGGTTCAACAGAATTTTGAACTAATTAAAATCGATAGAACCTTAAAAAGTTCTCTGTCATTTCGATAAGAGATAGCTGACTTCTCGTCGTTGTGAAAGAGGCTTGTAGTACTTTCATAAATTTGCACTATGCCGTATTCAAGTATCAGAAACTTAGGTCTATTGTGCTTTCTACAGGTGTTTGATAAGCTGTGGGAGGGTTGAGAAGATGATCCAAAAGTCTACAATCCCCAATTTATAAGGGATAAACTCAGCCGCTTGAACCCAATGTTTGAAAAAGGCTGGCATGAAGATGCGTTCGAGTTCTTCACATTTTTCTTCGGTCAACTAAGCGAGGATTGCATGGTCGAAATGCCCAGACCGGATGTTGGTTTAGTACTAGATTAGATTTTGTTCGTTGTTCCATCTGTATCCTGCTGATGAGTCGCTATAATGATAAAACACTGCCGTATATGGTTGGTTGGAGCGAGAAAAGCAGTGTTCACGATTAGGCCGCGATTAAATTCCTAGGTGTAAGACGTCAGATGTATACTTTTCACGGTGTCTGGTGTCAGTGTTACCAGTCCTAGTCTACCGATTTTAATGCGAAATCAAATCTACCGAAAAACCTCTTAAATGCTGGAATAGCATATTTCTGATATAATTCTACTATAAACTTGAGAAAAAGAGCCAAGAGCTGTCTGCCATCCTCAGCCTTTCACTATTTGATGATGATGAAGGGGGCTCTCTTCCATTTTCAAAAACACGTGGAGCTCAAGCAAGGCGCCATCTTTCTCCGGCAAGATTTTGTTGTTCACCGAAAAAATTCCTCGTTTCAACTAATATTGGAAATAACCTGAAATCTGAATTGAAAAAAAAATAGGTGGGGGGGGGTTGTAGACAGGGTGGGGGAGGGTATATATCACTTTTTTGATGTTAGTACAAATATATTTATGAGGGCGGTTCAATAAGTACCCGTGTTATAAATGAACACAATTTTTTCTAGTATTTTTTATTTTTATTTTTATAGTCCCCTTTTAGAAAGATACACTTTTCGAAATGTCCCTGCCATTATTCAACTCCTCCAAAAAATAGGATTTGTCGAACGCGAGCCATTTCTACACGTTAGGGAACAAGAAAAAGCCGCAGGGGGCCAGATGGGGTGAATACGGGGATTGCAACAGCTCTTCATAACGCAATTCATGCATTTTGGCGACGACAACTCGGATGAATGACCTGTTGCGTTATCGTAGAGAATCAGCACCTTATTTTTCGCTAAATGCGGCCGTTTTTCGTCGAAGCGATCCAATAACTTACTGTAGTATTGTCCAGTGATCGTTCTTCCTTATACAAAAAAAATACATGAGGATGACGCCGTTTGCATCCCAAAAAATCCTTGCCATGACCTTTCCGGCCGTTGGGACCGTCTTCGCCGTCTTTGGAGCAGATTCACCGGGAGAAATCCATTGTTTTGATTGTTGCTTAGCTTCTGGTGTGTAATGACGAATCCAGGTTTCATGAACGGTGACAACTCGACGCAAAAACTCCTTCGGTTTTCGCTTAAATTGCTCCAAACACTGCTTCGAAGGTAACACCCGCATCCGTTGTTGTCCACCGTGAGCAAACGCGGCTGACAATTTTTTCATCTCCAACTTATATTTATTGCCGTTCCAGTCGACACACCTGCGGCATCTGCTACTTCGGACCTTTTCGTTCGTCGATTAGATCATGTCGAGGACATTTTGAGTGATTTCCTCGGTAAGCACGTATGCCGTGCGTCCTGGTCGCTCCTCATCAAAAACGGATGTTCGCCCATGTTCAAATTCGTTGAACCAATATCTAACTGTGGTCATAGATGGCAAAGTGTCCCCATAACCAGCATCCTACTTTGATTTTATCTCATTTTTTCCCATCCAACAACTGTAAGCCTTCCTTTCCGCAAAAAGTCCAGAAAAGATGGAATGCAATGAAGATTCCAACTTTTCTGCACAATCACAGAAAGGGGGTTACCATTAGTTTCCGGTAGCTCAGTCGGTGGCATGAAGACATCTACAGGCGTGTAGCTGTGTGTCGACCATGGCATGGCTAGAGGATAGAAGAACAAACAGAACACAAAAATTTAACAGATTTTATTTAACAAAAAAGCATTTTCATTACATTACAATTTTAAAGAACAAAATAAGTTTTAAATCTTTGGCGCTGCTATAAAACTATACACTTATCTTTCGCTGGTCCATTTTGACTGGACTGAAGCGAGGATGGCCAGGTGCTTGAAGTGGAGGCCCCAGTTATGAGGGGTGACCACACATTTAGTGGCTTCAAAACCAGTTGTAGGCGAAGTTGAACTTAAAGGTGATGGCGCTGCCAAGGCACATGCATGGGTGAAGTGATAGGCCAAGCACTGCAAAGCCAAAGACTACATGAGTTGCAAAGGCAAAAGTCAAAGACAAAGGCAAAGGGAAAGGGAAAGGGGGTGGCCCCAATCTGGAAAAGAACCGTGTGCATTAGCAACGTGCCCTAATGGCCAAGGCATTTCCAATCTCAGTCTGCCTCAAAAGAGAACCAACGATTTTCTAGGTTAGAATTACATTACATAGTTTGATAGAATCAAACCGAAAATTGGAAATACCTTTCATAAAATAAAATCATGAAATAGCAAAAAAAAGCGTAAAACAAGATGGTGGTCATCAAAAATTTCTCCACATGCTTCTGATATAAAAACACAAATATCGAATATTCATAATCAACGTACTCATAATTTCACTGAACTATGATGAATACATATACGCAAACAGAGGTAAAATCGATGTGGATCGATTTCTACCTCGATTTGATTAAAGTTATGGCGAATGATCGAAGTAGTCGAAAATGACGTTCGATGGATATTTTAAAATCGTACAAGAAATAAACCACTTACATATCGACTATCTATAAACTACAGGCAGACCCAGCAATAAAACTGTATAGTATTATAAAACTCACCATTTTGTCCTATTCGGACACACATTCTACAAAATTCTAGCACATGGTGCTATATGACCTCATGCTACAGAGAACAAAATTCTTAGCTCTTGCTAGATCGGCGGCTCAAGTCATAAAGAAGCGCGAGGAAGATCGCAGATCAGGAACTCCGCATCAAGCGCGCTCCAAGTGGGAATGTTTCCAAGTAAAAAAGCTAGAGATGGGATTAATGAAATGATAATCGAGAAGTGATTTAATAAATACGATCGGACGGTGAAACCGTTACACTCGCCCCTACTTAACCAGAAAAAAATTCGAAGAAGCATTCAAGTATTTTTTTTAACAAGGAAATTGAAACTTATCACGGAAGGACAAATGTACAACCATTCGACCAGATAACAAGTAGCAAAAGTAAGGTAGAAACAGAAATGTTAGAAGAGAATTGGAAGAAAAAGGGATAGCCTCAAGTCTACCAAACAAGAGGGATGGTTATAGCACCAACTCGCTGAAAAGTACAGTGAAGTTGCACTTAAAAAAAATATCATCATATGATGATCAACCCAAAACATGAAACATCGTCACACCTAGGACGAGAAAAATAATAAACCAAAAGCTTCAGCAGTAGTCCAAGCACGAAGTGAGGAATCACAATGGCTTCCAAAATGCACGACTGACTACTAAACACTGCAAAACTAAGTAAGTACCTAAACCATAAGAGGTACTAAAAAAACAGAATAAACTTTCTCAAGATAATTGCCAGATTATCTCGCAATGCTCCAAACCCAAAAAGAATATCATCTACAGTGATATTTTAAACCAATATCCAATATAAAAAAACTGTGCATTACTATTTTCAAAATATGAAAATCAAAAGAAATTAACAAATTCTAATAGGAATTCAAGTCATATAACAAAACAATTTACAAGTACTAAGCCAATGAAAACTTGATCAAGAAGGTATTTTAATCAAAAAAGATGTTAACTAAGTGCAGTTCTGATTCCACAAAAAAATTGTCGGGCGCCAGCAGTCTGTAAGACTACAAAATAATTCAAAATGTTTTCAGAGAATTAAAGTATATCAGAGACATTCATGAAATATTGAAGTAAGATTTTCAAAGTCAAAATATAGCTTAAGTTCAATCAATGAACTAAAATTCAAGAGTAAGTTCAACCAAAATTTTCGGGTCATGTGACAATATAAGAACCAGACCAAAAAAAAATTCTGAAGTTCAATATAGAAAAGAGCAAAATATATTTCCAAAAAAAAGTAAGTGCAACACAAGTACAACTGTAAATCTAATAGTATTAAAATCATAAAGTGAAAGGAAATATCAAAGCCATATGAGCATGATTTTATAAAGAATTCTCAAAAAATACAAAAGTAAGCAAAATATTAAAATTTTCATGAGTAATAATTGAGAAATGAAGTGAGCATATGTAAAATGCAAAATAGCGAAACGAAAATCACAAGATATTTTAATAAATCATGATACATGAGAGTAATGCCGCAAGCAAAAATTGTATGCAAAAGTCTACGATATATGTAGTTGCAAAATTGGAGTTATAAAAAAAATCTAGTGAACAAGAAATAGAAATAAATATGATAGGTAAGAATTCGAATTTTGATTTAAAGCAAAAATATGAGAGAAAGACAACTTTCTAGGGTCACCATAGGTGCACTCCAAAGCCCTAGACAAGAATGTCTATAGTCTATGGAATATTCTCATGTAGATCACTGATATCATCAGCGCACTAGTCTACACTGAGAATAACCATATCATTGTAAAATGAAAGTTAAGTTCAAATATGAAATATTACAAGATTAGAAAAACTATAATAATTTACCAATGTAAAGTATGAGAAGAAAATTACTATACTGAATCTATAAGAATGGCGATTACTTCAAGTCAAGACAGAAATTGAAAGAAATAAGAAATCGGAAAAAAAAACTATAAGAGCAGACTATCAAAACAAATGCAATAATGCAAAAGCAAAATCACCAGATATTTCAAAATCTATAGCGAAACATGAAAGCAATGTCGCAACCAAGCTCAAGACTTAGCAATACGCACAAATGTGCACAAAGGCTGAAAGCATATATGAAAAATCTCAAGAAGGAATTGACAATTACTTCAAATCAAATTGAA